CTCCAGATAATTTGAATTAACTCAGCTCAACAGATTCATTCTACCTTGCAATTGGCATTTGGTGAATCTCACAGTTCTTCATTTCTGCACTACAGTTTTTCCAATTACCAGATTAGGTCATCTGTGTCCTTCTTATTGAATGGTTCTAGAACCATGAGGCAAGATGTATCTGGGTTAGATTCCCAAGAAACAAATCCTAAAATTATTTTCCTTGAGTGGATGAGGAAAAAGAAGCAAGAGCTTTCTCCTTGAGATGTTTCTGGATTTGTAGGTGGCTGATTAGTGGCTATGAGCCATGCATGAGCCTTAGCATTTCTTCCAAATGAGAGTGAAAATAGCATAATTTATTTGGGAAACTTTTTACTGTCAATTATATCTTACCTCCTGGAGAGACTAGCCAGACAGACTCCATTGACAATATGTAAAGGAAGCATCTTAAGTGCCACTTAGTTGTCCCCAGAGCTTTAGTCACTCATAATACTTCCTCAAGACTATAAAAACATAACCCCAGATTATTTTACCTTTTTTTAAATTGAAGAATTCTTTGACCTTTCTCTAATAGTTGCTCCCTAGAAATTTCTTTGAGCTGAAGCCATACTTGACCCTGGCCTTCCAAATAAGTTAATGTCTCTGCACGCAGGTTTCCTCATATTCATTTGAAAATGGGGAAAATAATAACAGCATTTCTTTCTTTTTGAGCCATAAAGTTATTTTCTGAACTGACTTCCAATTTAATTAGATCAAATAGACTAGCAATGTTATCACTAACAAACATTCATATATCTGCCTTATCCCTAGGCAAATACGGTACATTTGTTATATACTACAGCAGATTCTTGGTGTTCAACTTCCTGTATCTTAAGTTAAACCTGAGTTCAGTCTTAGTAGAACTTAGCGGCTGATACAAATGTGTGGTATACTCACTGTTTATAGCCAGCTTCTGCTCTGATTGACTGGTGTCCATGTTGAATATTTGGAATATCACCCTTGTTTAACAGCCATACTTTAAAACTGATCAGTGAAATAAATGGCTATAGGAGTCCATATAGTGCTTGTAAAGTACCACAGTGTTTGAAAAATATTTTATTTCCTAAAATATGGTGAGTCAACTCCCTATCTTGGAAAGGAATGGGAAATCTAATGGGCAATATTATACTTTATAACCACTTAGGTTTGTTACTCCATTTAGTTTAAATGATAGTTGTTGGGAGGGGCAATCTTCTTCCGTGGGCTCTGAGTATCCCTGCATGCTCTTGCTGGGTGTGCCAGGCAAGAACACAGGGTCTTGTCTGCTCTTTACCAGACATTTCTTAGAGTTGAGTTTGTAGTGAGTAACCTTGAATGATGAGGTAATATTTCCCCGGATACCAAAGGCAGGCTAGGTTCTGCTTAGAATAAAAACAATAAATCCCCAAGCTCAGTGTTCCTTTCCTGTAAATACAACCCATTTTGTTTGCAGGCATCCATCACGAGCCCTTTGTGTTACCCCATAAAACTTGGGGCACATGGAGACCTGAAGCAAACAACCATGAAACTCTGGTCACTGCTTCTGCTATGAGTAATAAAGTCTTTTTTCTCCATTCCAGGAGTCTCATGCCTTTTGTCAGCCATCAGCGAAATAGTAACAGGCTCATTTGTTAGTTTGTAAGTAAAATAAAACCTTAGCCTTTGAAGAGTTCCTAAGGGTTTTCAAATATGTCTATGTAAACCCAAAAATAGGTCCTATAATGATTATGTATATTGTTTCAAACAATTAGTGAACATAACCAGTATAGAACATAACCAGTATAGAATCTTGGTCTTTTATCCTGACTCTACCACTGAGTAAATGATCTTGAGTAAGTTTTTTTCTTGTAGGCTTCTGTGTTTTCATCTGTAAAATGAAGGAATTCAACTGTGCCCTGGGGAGTAAATGACAAGTCACTTCAAGGGCACTTGCATTAGCCCCCAGTTGTGGGTTGTTGGCTCTGGCTGGGGGCAATGTTATAGCTGTGTTGACTGGCCTGGTCTCCTACCCTCAGCAAGGCGAGCAACTGTAGACACTGTCCCTACCCTTTCATATTTCTCTTACATATGATTTCCTCCACACTTTTCCTCATACTTCCTAACTCTCTTATTTCCTTTTTCTCAGGAAAAAAAAAATGCAGCTAATCAGAATTTTTTCCTTTCTATCACTTGAGCCACTGACTGTGCTCTGGACACCATCCATCTTATCAATCCAGGGATGACACCTGGCAGGAACAGATGACATGAGATTTCAGGCCACACAGTCATTAAAGTCTCTAGGAGTTCAGCAGAGAGGGAAATCACTATGAACTGGCATGTGGAAGAATGGGGAAGAGTGACCTAGGCCTTCAAAGTTGGCATTCTGAAATACAGAAGGAGAGCCCTGCCTCAAGGATTTGCCTTCTAAGACTTTCCCTTCAGGGATGTGGAATATTTATCTCAACAGGGAACACAAAGAGCTGGCTTTTGCTAAGGTGATCCACTGTCCCAATTTGCCAGAATTGAGGGTGTTCTTTAGACATGGTGCTTTAATATTTTAAGCCAGGACAGTCCTGGGCAAACTCTACTAACATATTCTTCTAGATCCACACTTTGTGGTATAAGCTTTATGTTATAAGGTCCTCAAATATTAAGGTTTTGGAAGCTCAGACATGAAGAATTTGATGTAGCCCCCACTCCCCAAATGTTGCTGTACAATATCCTAAGGCAATAAACACCCCTGAATAAATGGAAGAAGGAAAAAAAATAGAAAATGTAGTAGAAAATGTTGGTTAACATAACATGTATTATCTTCCTGTAGCTATCTTTAATAACTTGTAAACTAAAATGGTTTCGTTACGATCCCTTTCTAATGACTTTCTAAGTAATGGGAGAGAAAATACTCATGAAAATATGCTTAGAGCAAAGAACTAACAATAGAAAAAAACAAATAAAAAGTGAAAGAAAAGGGCATAGAGAGAATGTATACCTACATAGCAAAAAGCAACTGTCAGGACATAAAATTAAATATGATTAATAGTGGTTATCTCTGGGTGTTTATTTTTATTTTAGTATTTATGCTTTTTTGTGTTTTTAATGTAACTATAATAACCACATATTACTTTTATAATAAAAAATAACTGTTAATTGCAGCTTAAAAAAATAAGAGAAATAAAGATATGTCAAGACCACAGTGGGATGGACTGTATTAAGAAATATTAGGATTTTATGCTGGAGACAATGGAAATCAGTGGGTGGCTTTTAAGCAGGAAAACCACTTATTGTACTTGATCAGAGAAAGAATTTTAGAACAGATTTTTGAAAAGGACCCTGATGGCACACAGGAAGGTATTGCCCTGGCTGGAATATTTGGTTTTAAACAGGGGTCTCTTATTTTCTTTTTCTTTTTTTTTTTTTTTTTTTGAGACGGAGTCTCGCTCTGTGGCCCAGGCTGGAGTGCAGTGGCCGGATCTCAGCTTATTTTCAAATCCAAAAGTAATAGAAGTGCCGGTCCTCTGACAGGTGACTTGAGATTCATTCAAGCCAGAGGGCCCAACCCAGTGCCTGCCAAATGTTTTGACATAGGTGAGCATTTATTTCTCCTGCTCAAGTGGCCTGCCCTTTTCTTCATCAAAATCATTTAAAGGTCAGCTAGAAAACTTGTTGAAATTGTCAACTTCCACTGTCTCTGAATTTCTGGTAATCTGAAGTCTTCTGAGTTTAGCATCCCCCTTTCTGAAGTCTTTATGAGTTTGATTTTGTATGATTGGTTGTACTAATTTGTAGTGATATATACTACTATGGTGCAATGAGGAACTGTGCAAAGAAACATAAGATGTTTTATTTATTTATTTATTTATTTTCTAGATATGTTTGTTGGGATTTGGGACTTTATGTAATTCTGTAATCATTTGCCAAAGAGAGAATTTGAGTAAAAAGAATATAAAAGGGCTTCATCAAGAAGTGTTTATAGATATATTAATTACTGTGACTTAACACCAGAATATGAAGGAAATTATGACTCGTACTGAGTGCTTCTTAGTTCTCTTGTGTTTCATTTAGGAATGAGAGTTATGGGATTCAATGTGTGTGCTAAGGTAGCATGCTCTAGGCAACACTATAAAACCATTAATCACCTCGGGTCTCTGAGGGAGGCCCTGGCTTCTCTATCTGCGGAATTTAAAGCACACAACTGAATTGTGTGATTTTTTTCTGTTCTGTGTTTTCAACAAGCATTATCTGAAAAGAATTTTCAGTCTGCTGCTTGTAGCCATGTTGTTGTCATCTTACTGAAACATGAAGTGATTTAAGTTTCACAGCTGTTATTGTTTTCAATGGAGCAGCTGCCTGGCACTTCCAGGGACAATGCCAGGTTCACATGGAGGCTATCTATGCAAATTACAGTAGAAGGTTGAGCAATAATCTGGTGAATTTGATCATTACAGACAGTCTAAATAATTCAGATGCAGATAGTGTAAAGTTCCTTCATTGGCCAGAGCAACGCAGCAAATTGCTTTGGTTCCTTCACTTGATTTAGTGATTTTGGACTTAGCCTTAGTGATCAATTTAATAACCAAATTCGTAAGAGACTGATGTATGAAACTAAATGCTAATTTACAATGAGAACCACAGTTCATGCCAGTAGATTCTCTCTTCATAGGAAGAGCTATATGTGAAAATTACTATAATCAGAGGATTGACTTATAATAACAGCCTGAGCAAGCACAGTCAGTTAATCAATAATAATCTCAGCTGTAGGAATAAAACTACTCAGTAACAGATCCAGGATTTTGAAGCCGGAATGCATAGGACCTCTTACTCGTTAAATCATGTTGTCTGGAACATTTTTTTCTCTATTAGTTTTAGTTTTGCTCCCAAAATTCTAATTTATACACTTTAATTGACTTGAGTACTTTCTAAATCTGCTTGCCAGGTTCACACATAAAACTCTGAATCATATCATTAGATGGCAATCCCATCCAGTCTAAGTTGATTTCCTGTGTTTCAATTCTCAGGCACTCTGGACTCTATGAACAGATGACAGACCACACAGTCATTTAAGTCTCTAAGAGTTCAGCAGAGAGAGAAATCACTATGAACTGGCATGTGGAAGAATGGGGAAGAGTGACCTGGACCTTCAAAGCTGGCATTCTGAAATACAGAAGGAGAGCCCTGGAGACTGTGACTAAGTCTGCTTGCCTAGGTAACAAGGTAATGCTGCAGAGAAGTACAGATAAAGATGGAAATGCACTTTGAGGCCAGATTGTGGAGGTTCTTAAATGCCAGGATAGTAAATGTGGATTTGTTTTAGCAGCTACTGTGAATGCCTAAGAGCTTTGGTTTACAGGAATGACATGCTCAGTCCAGGGCGTAAGAAAAATAAATCTGACATCCTTTCATAGAAAGGAGGAATGGAGAATAGAAGCAGAGAGAACAGGTAGGAGACTGTAACCCTAGCCCAGATGGAGGTGAAATTGAAATGAGTTTCAGACCAAAGTAAGGTATAGAGACTGTATTCATTGCTGATTGCTGCTGTAAAAAATTACCACAAACTCAGAGTCTTAAAGGAACGCTAATCTCTTCTCTTACAGTTCTGGAGGTCAGAGTCAAAAATCATGGTGTTGGCAGGACAGCCTCCTTGTGCTTCCCAGCTTCTGGAGACTGTCTGCATTTCTAGGCTCATGGCCTCTTCCTCCATCTTCAGAGTGCATTACTCCAACCTTTGCTCCTTTTATCCCATCTCCTCCTTCTGCCTTTGGTCTTCCTGCCTCTCTTGTATAAGGACCCTTGTGATTACTTTGTGCCCACCTGGCTCATCCAGGATTGTCTCCCCATCTCAAGGTCCTCACTGAATCCCATCTGCAAAGTCTTTTATGCATGTTAGGTATCATATTGTCAAGTCGTGGGGATAGGGATATGGACATTTTGCGGGGAGGTGCCTTATTCAGCCTACTACAGAGACACAGAAACATCCACCTCTCACTGTTGCCTCACACTACTTCCCTTTCAAAGACGCTGAGCTCCAAAGGAACATGATTACTAATATCCAAAACATACGTTGTTCTTTGCTGCTTTTAATTCTGTTCTTTCCTTTGCTTAGAGTATCTTTCCTCAATATCGGCAGCCTCAAATGCTTCCATCCCCCAAAATCTTTCTGCTATCCTCCCTCCTCCCCTCCCTTTGACTTATGACTTGAGGAAAGATTCTCTCTCCTTTGTCTTCTGCCTATACTTTATATGACTCCTGTCATTTTAACAAAAACCTTTATTTTGAAATAATTTCAGACTTTCAAACAATGCAAACATAGTACAAAAAAAATTACATATGCTATTTGCTTAGTGTCTTCAAATCTTAATAACTTGAATAGCCATAGCATAATGATCCAGACCAGGAAATTAACATTGATACAATACCATTAACTAATGTACAGACTTGACTGAGATCCTAACAATTGTCTCACTAATGTCCTTTATCTGGTCCAGAATCACATGTTGCATTTAGCTGGCATGCTTCTTTAATTTTCTTCAATCAGAGACAGTTTCCCAGTCTTTCTTTGTCTTTCATAAGGTTACTACTATTGAAGAGTCTTGACAGTTATTTTGTAGAATGTCTCTTTATCTGGGTTCATTCATGTTTTCTCCTGATTTGATTCAGATTATGCATTTATGGCACAGATATCTCAAACGTGAGGTGTCCTCTCAGTGCATCATATCAGGAGTTAAATTACATTGGTATGTCTCATTACTTGGGATATGTAACCACTAGTTTAAAATGGTGTCTGCTAGCTCTTCTGTTGCTCTTAGCACATTTAGCCTTGTACTGTATATACTTTTGTCAGCATGTTAGGACTGGAGAGGATCAAAGCAATGATTTGGCAATAATATAAAAGTAACATAATATCAGGTAATTTATACTAAGGATTTAGCATATCCTAGGAACTGCACACATTAGTTCATCTAATCCTTAAAATACCCCTTTAAAGTTGACACTTTATCAGCTCCATTTTATCTTTTTGGAGAAGACATTCCTTGTTGACAAGTACTGTCTCGAGAAGAGGGAATATAACTTGCTCATTTTTATCCCACACAGAGCCTAGTACAGCACTCTACATAAAGTAAGGGGTAGAAAATATTTGTTAACTTAAATTGAAATGAAATGGAAGGCAGAATCTTGAGACTGTATAACTAATTAACGTCAACAAAGGAGAAGGATTCCTGGGTAATTAGGAGGTGCTGAGTTTGTGGGAGGGGAACACATATAGGAAATGATTTCTTTTCAAAGGGACAAAAAGTTGGAACTTTCATTGGCCAAAGTATGAAGAGTGGCTTAAAAGTAAAGACTTGGGCATACATTCACATTTATTTGGCAGAAGAAAAATCAGTAAAGGAGAAAAGGAGTGAAGTGTAAACAAGGTAGAAGAAGTAAGATAGTGTAGTCTTATGGCTAGACAATTTTAAAATCTGAAATGAAGAAAATTAAGTGGGAATACGCATAAAGCCATTCTTAAATTACAATGAATATTTTGGGAAAACTGTAAAAACACATTTGATGAAGTTGTTACTGGTTTTTAAAAATTTAGGCAACACATAATTATCCATAGTAATGCAAAAGAACAATATCAAGCATAAATCAGAAGAATGGATGATTCTGAACATGTAGAAGTGACCATAAAGCACATTGTGTATGATTTCTGAGGCAGCATATTTCCCTTTCAATGACTGCTGAATTTAGATGAAGAACAGCTTTTATTTCTTAATGCAAAACCTGAGTGCTGGAAGGGAAAGAAAACCGGAATTTGAAAAGTGGTCACATGTTTATAGTTGAGGGCTTATTATAAATATAAGACTGTTTTCCAGTGTTCTAAATGTAAGCTCTTTCTGGCTTTATCAACCTTCCAATTTTACAATAAAGGAGATCAGGTCACTGGACCAGAACTCAGACCTGGCTTCTATTCTTAGCATGACCACTAACTGTGTAGTGAAGCGGGGAAATTCATCCTGGCCCTTTGCGCCCTGGACAAGGAGGTTATTAACTAGAAGATTTCAGTGATCCCCTCTGGAGCTAAATCTCTGAAGCTGGTTCTGTTGTTTAGGGAATGCTAGCTATATAACTGTTTTGCATGACATACAAATTTTATTTACTGGATTATTTGACATATGTAAGTAGTTCCTTAAAAGCAGAGTTTTCTAGAGAAAAATATAAGTGGAGTGATTCATTGCCAGAGCTACACAACATGGTAATTATAGAATTAAGAATTACAGGAATAGCTTTCTATTTAAAACAAGCTTGGAATTTTCCATTTGTTTGGGGTTTTCTCTGAAGCATTAAGAATGGCCCTTGCCAATTAGTTCTCTCTCCCTGTATCGTTGCATGAGCTGCCTTTGTGTGAAAGATTGGTCTTGGAAGCCCAAAGCAGCCAGGAAGAAAGGTGTGAAGCTAGAGTGCCCAGCAATTCTTCAGAGAGGACAGATGGAGCCAAGAACTAAAGAGGGGAGGAGCCTGACAAAGGAATGAAATTAATTTGGATGGGACCCATGGAAATTGGATGAAGTCAAATAGTTTATCATTAGAAGGGCTTATTTTGCATCCAAAGTAGTTTTCTTCTGAAAGAAGACCCCTTAATCATGGGAAACATTCTTCTTCCATGGCAGTCTCTGTTTTAAATCTTTATTCTTGCCTCTTCCCTCTTCAACTTTGTTGTCCTTTCTCCCCCTTTTCCCCACTCCCCTCCCATTTTTCTCCTTCCCTCCCCCTCTTAACACTCTTTCATGATTAGATTAATTTGTTTGCCCAGACAAGGGGAAGAATAATTTGCAGACTTGTAAGAACAGGCTTCCTTTCCCAGTGCACAATAAGCCGCAAAACATTGAACTCCTCTCACTGCCCTGTGAGCAAGAAAAAGGGACACTTAGTCCTAAAACAAAAGAAAAGACTCTGAGATCTTTTTAAATTGAACTAATGAAAGTCCTGCTATTGTGAGGAGAGAAGCAGGGTGTGGGGGTGTGTGTGTGTGTGTGTGTGTGTGTGTGTGTGTGTGTGTGTGTGTGTGTGTGTGTAGAAAGACTATAAGGCTCTGATAAAGATGGATGCCAAGGTTACAGAGGATAGGAGGGTAGAAGGAAGCACACAGGAGCCTTGAAGAAGGAGAGATAGTTTGAGTTGAATATATGTCTGAAATAGTGCAATTTTCACACTATCAAGTTCATATTCCTAGGAAGAGGGAGTCTGGAGTAAGTCTGAGCAAGCTAGTTAACCTCCCTGAGTCTAAGTTTCCTAGGCACATTCACACTTTCTCACACTGTTTTTGGAGGGGCACATAATAAGTCATTCTTGTGCTAGTGCTTAGAGAGTTGTGTGATATTAGATACACTCTTGAGTATTAACTTGCCCATCTGTAACATGGGAATAATGATGGAGGGTTTTCATGGGAATTTAATGAGATAGAGCCTAGAATAAGGAAATGCCTGATTCTTGTTTATTCTCTTATTTCCCCTTGGGTACAGGTTATCTTAAGTATTGGGAAATAATAAGTTAGTTTGTATTACTCATCTTTAATACTAGCCTAATACTAGCCTAAAAGCATAGTTAAGAGCTTAAACTTACATTATACAGTAAAATAGAGGAGCATTTAATGTGGTTTGTTGTGTTTAAATTATCAGTTGGCCATTGATAACAGCTAACTCAGAGTTCACATATGAGCAAATGGTTAACAGAACAAAGTATCTAATTTGTGGTCTCATCTGCTTACATGATAATCAACTGGTGTCCTGTCAGCATCACCCAATGAGAATGGACACCCTTGTGATAGGTTGCACCGCATATTCTCACTCATAGGTAGGAATTGAACAATGGGAACACTTGGACACAGGGCGGGGAACATCACATACCAGGGCCTGTCATGGGTTGGGGGGATGGGGGAGGGATAGCATTAAAAGAAATACTTAATATAAATGATGAGTTAATGGGTGCAGCAAACCAACATGGCACATCTATACATATGTAACACACCTACACGTTGTGCACATGTACTCTAGAACTTAAAGTATAATAATAATAAAAAAAAGAATGGACACCCCTCACAGTGCTGCAGCAGGGCCTCTGAGGCCCCTCACTGTACATGCCAGACATTAACCCTTGAATTGCCAGAGCCTGGGGAGCTTCAGGGCTCTGGGGAAACAGGAAGTTCCTTCAAGGGGTTGTGGGTAGTGACT